TTTTAATTCGACATTCGCGTCCGGACAATAGCTTCAACTACCCATAAATGTTCTTTTTAATTCAATTTACGCTAGCTATCGGCTGCAAGACCCTTTTGCATAAAAGAAAAATGAGCTATTTTGATCAGCTGCAGCATGAGATAATCACGATTCCTGGCTTGAGTAAGCTAAAATAACTTAGAGCTATGGGGAAAGACTAGTTAAGAGCGTGTGCATTATCCATGAGAACGAGATATTAAAGTCCATGACATCTATTGCCGTAGTCTACGTAGTAGATCTATTCATAGTATCTGAGCAAAACCAAAATAAAGGAAAAAGGTATCATCTAATCATATGCACATAGCCCTTCCCCCTAAACGCTCTCAGATCCAAACACATTAAACTGGTATCTCTAACTCTTTCTCTCTTCTCTACTCTATCATTCCGTTTACTCAACCCTGGTAACAGAGATGCTCTCAACAGTCTTCTCAACGCGAGTGGTCGTGACCTTATCGGCATCGTAGTGCACATTCTCAACGGCACCGCCGAGCGCACCGCCCATGGCGGGGGCCTCGGTGACGATGTTCTTGGGGCGCATGACGACCATGCCGTGGCGGACCCAGTGGAAGGTGACGTAGCCGAGGACGTAGACGAAGCCGACGAGCGGGACGACGTACGAGATGCGGGTGCCGGCCGACGTGTCGGCGATGGCGCCCTGGATCGGCGGGAAGATGGCGCCGCCGGAGACGCCCATGACGAGGATACCGGCACCGCGGCGGGTGTGGCGGCCGAGGTTGGCGGTGCCGAGGGTGAAGAGGGTGGGGTACATGGGCGCCTCGAAGAAGAAGATGACGATGAGGACGGCAACGGCCGACGTGCCGTGGCCGGCGCAGACGTAGGCGTTCAGCGCGATGGCGCAGCAAGTGTAGATGACCATGATGAAGTCGGACGCGAAGATGGTGGCCAGGCCGGTGGCGACGAAGCGGCCGACGGTGAAGGTGATGAGGGCGTACGACAGCATGTTGGAGGCCTGCGCAGACGAGTAGGTGGCGTTCTCAGTCGCATAGTTGATGAAGAAGGAGGCAATGGTGACCTGGGCGCCGACGTAGCAGAACTGGGCGATGAAGGCGAAGATCATGTTGTACTGCTTGTACAGAGGACCGGCACCAATCTCGCGACCGAACTCATCCTGAGCGAGGTTGTCGACGGCGTCCTTGCCGGAGAGCTGCTCCTCGGAGACCTCAGGGAGCTTGGAAACAGCGAAGAGAATGCCGACGGCGACACCGGCACAAGCAACAGCGAGGTAGACGAACTGCACGTTGGTGAGGCTGTTCGCGTTGGCGCCGCTGAAGAAGAACTTGGAGGCGATGAGGGGACCGATGAAGGAGGCGACACCGTTCCAGGATTGGCAGAACTGGAGACGGGCAGAGGCCGAGGCGGGGTTACCGATGACGACGGCGTACGAGTTGGCAGCCGTCTCAAGGGTGGCGAGACCGCAGGCGATGACAAGAGTGCAGGCGCAGAAACCGCCGAAGGAGGCCTTCTCGTTGCCAGGCTTGGAGAAGTGTGCGGTCGGCCAGAACATGACGGCACCGAGCGAGTAGAGGGTAAGACCCATGAGGATGGTCAATCTGTAGCCCTTGCGCTTCATGACCTCAGCGGCGATGGGAGAGAACAGGAGGTAACCGCCACCGAAGTAGACGACCTGGAGACCGGTAGACTGGAGCTTGGTGATACCAAGGACCGTCTGGAAGTGCTTGTTGAGGACATCGAGGAGACCGTAAGAGAAACCCCCTGATGCGTGTTAGCATGCGCGCCAAGTGATGTGTTGGTTCGATGGAACTTACAGAGGAAGAAAAGGGAGATGACAAGGGAGAGAGGGTAGATGAGTCTGCGACCCGTGAGGTAACCACCGTCCACGGTCCCCGTCGAAATGGGCATTCCACCGGCCATTTTGAGTGAGTTGACAATGATATCAGGCTAAGTGATATTCTGGTGTCTCTCGATTTCCAGGGAAGAGAGGACGAGAGGGCTGACTTGGTGATGAGAGACATGATTGCTGCCGGGGCACGCAGGCTTTATAGCGTCGAGCTGGGGAAGCATTGTGTATAGCGAGCTGCCCATGGGGTAAGGCCCACACGGGAATCTGGAGGCATCTGGGTTTGGCGGCGCTTCGGCCTGGCCCGAGCTAGTGCAGTAGCGGCTTATCCAGCAGCCGCACTACTTTAGCTCGTGTGGAGTCGTCATGGTGCGCGGAGAAGGCCAGCCTCGGCCAACCAGAGCCCAGTACCAGCTGGGCGAGTCCAGAACCATGGTCGTACGGCACTGCCCATGACAGTCCCTTCAACGCCTGCCGGCACTTGGGCGCCGTGCTGCACTGTGCTCTCACTGCCGTTCGAAAGAGTATTGCTGTGTTTTGCGGCCCTTCTGCGGGCAGCTGGCCGTCGCCCCTCACAAGCTCATCGTTAAGCCCTTTTCTTGGAGCGCCACCATGCTCTTGACCTCAACGCCAACCTGCCAAGTACAAGCTTCGGTTCTCCTCAACACCAACGACAGGTGGTGCGATAATCGCGCATCGAGTCGTGGCAGCTACGGGTAAGCTGCAGCAGAGCTCCCGTTCAGCTTCGGCGAAAGCAGCCTACCATATGCAACGGAGAGCGAAGATCGCCCAATGCAAGCACCCGAATAGGATTCCGTCGAGAAGCAGACTAGAAGTTACGTGCATGCAGTCAGGTGGTTGGCCGTCGCCCAACCATGTTGATTGGGGCCGGCGAAAATGCCGGGGGTTCTTCGCAGAAACATGCTCCTTGGTGTTGCGATGTCGCCGCCGTGGCTTGCAAGCGGCTGCGTAAGCCAGGCCCTGTGTCAAGACCACGACTAAGAGACGGGAGCGAGCAAAGTTTGCAGCTTTAGTGCCGGCACTAGAAGTCGCGTAGAAACCGTGGCAAGCTGGTGAACGAGCCGTATACGGCAAAGCACGCTCGGCAAATACGACTCTGGACTCGGCTGACAAGCTGTATTATTGTTTGTTCGCGAATCGCGTGCGAGCTTACCAAAGATGGTCGGCCGGGCTGCGTGACCCAAATCGGTACTGTCCAGCCGGGTCGAGGCGCTCGGCGGCCGCGGAGCCGCCGTGATCAAGGTACCGGCCCGTCTCACGGCCACTTGATCATTACCGAATGCTAAGTAGCTGGCCGAGCCGCATGGCGACTTGTCCTTTTCAAGCTTATTGTAAGCCACTCGATGCTGTTGAGATGCCGTACCGTGTGGTTGGATACGGAGGAAGCCGCACGCCGTGCTCCTGCCGTCTTGGTTGGTCGGCCTTACGCCTCCAAGGCCTATTGGGTTTGCCTCTCCAGGCTTGTGCGCGTCACCGGCGCTGCGATGCAGGGGCTTTTTTTTTTTTCCTTATCCGTACCACCGCTCTGTCAAATCAGACAATCGGAGATGGCAGCTGTTGAGGTAGAGGTGTTGTGCTTGGGCCAGCACTGTATCCCCACTTCTGAGAGAGAGGGGGAGTCGAGACGCCCTCCCCAGCCGCACTCGTCCCACCTGCTGCGGCTGGACATCCTGTCGATGATCGAGGGGTCCCGGGTCCACTTGGCTGAGCATCTTTGTGGAGGGACGGCTGGGGTCTGGAGTCAAGTGGATCCATCTTCGTCCAGCTCTCCTTTCATGGTACGATGACCGCTCAATCCCGCACGGCAGATGCCTTCTTTCTCAAGGAACCCTGACAATACCCCAGCTAAGCTGGCATGAGCGATCTCGGCCGCTTCTTTGGCTCCACTTGTCCGCACGCGCCCCGTTCCCCTTTTGATCAAAGCACATCATGTGTTCTTCATCACGCTCGTCTTGTATCCTGCTTGCCTTTTGCTCTCATTGTTTCTTCACACTCCCTGTATTCTTGTGATCAAAGTACGCAGGTTTATGTTCCGCGTCTGCTCTCGCATGGTCCGGTTCCGCGAATGTGTCCGACGGTGAGGGAAACCTGCGAGCTAATGGAGACTATCCGATCCAGAGCAAATCCAAGAGGCCATCGCTGAATCTCTTCGCTCCACTGGGTCTGCAAAGGGTTCGTCCGACGAAATGGCAGATATTAGCAAACATCATCCACCCGGAGTCGAGTGATCCTGGCAGGAGTAGAGTGAGTAAGTCAGCCACATGGTAGCAGTTACAGACATAGATCGAAGAAATAACCAGTATCCGACGGTGCTGGACGCAGCGAGCCGCGTGGTCCAGTGAGCTTGACAGGCTGGTAGAAGAAGGCACAAAAACAACAAGCGATTGGATGAGAGAAAGACGAGGTAGAATACGCTTGAAGATTTCTCAGAACGAAATCAGAAACGTGGAGGCTCGCCTGATGCGTTGCAAAAAAAAAAAAAAAAAAAAGAGAGAGAGAGAGAGAGATGAAGAAAGTGCCCAGCACTCGCTGAGTCAGACGATTTGACCACGATGTTGAGACTGGTACGGGCTTGAAGCTGGCGTCAATACTTGATTCTATTCTCGAAAAACACGCTGAATAGTGTTTGTGGGTTCTTGCTCAGAGGATGAGTGCGCGTGGCGTGAACGGGGTGGGTTGTCTTGATGGGTCAGTGCAGTGGTGTTTCGCATTAACGAAGCGTGGGGTCAAGAAGGAGGTGGAGATGGTATGCGAAGATCAGCGGTGGAATGGTGAGACAAAGGAGGCGAGGAGAGATCTGCTTTGTGGGCTCCGCGTGATAGGAAGCCGCGGATTGCCGAAATTCTCGGATTCTCTGGGAACTCGGTGAGCGGCATAGCCTCGCGCCTGTCGCTCGGGATGTGCAAAATAAGACCACCTGACTTTAATTTCGCTCGAAATATGTGAACATGGTGCTATAAAAGGAAGTATTCGCTGGCCAGGCTGGTCAGCCGCAACGAACAGGCAAACGCACGCGCCACACGGCGGGCTGATTCCGGCCTAGCGTGCCTGAGTGTGTCAACGTCATGGCGTTGGCGCAGGCGCAACCAGGCAGGACACAACTTTCCCAAGCCGTTACCATGACCGCAACCTCCACCACTCGACATGGCCGCCAGCCCAGCGCTCTCGCCGGCTCAGGCCCACGCCCTCTTCGACATCCTAACCCACCATGAGGTCTACGGCGAAATCGAAAATTTTAAATGGCCCGATGCCATCCACCACTATGGTCACCCTTTTCGTAAGGACGACGCTCAGCCTTGCACCTCGCCCGTCTTGCAGGCGCTACTCAACAAATTCGCCCTCACTCTGCCGGGTCTCTCTAGCGTAGAGGAAGTCTTCTGGAAGGAGCGCATCCAGACTATCGTCGAGAAACTCGGCGCTGCAGAACTTTCCGAGAGCTATGACAAGGGCTCTGTCGGTCTGCGCAAGACCCTGGCAACCGCCATTTCCGCCCTGATCGAGTATCCTGCAAAGGGCGCGCTTGGTGGCTTCCCAATTAAGGATGTCCAGCTCGACCGCCGCTACGACACCTCCAAGCCTGAGGACGTCATGCAAGCCTGGGACGATTTCCTTCAACAGCTGGTCTATGGCGGCATGATTGACCAACTATTCACCAAGTGTGCCGAGACTGACACCCTGGACGGTCATTCGCCTTTGGTTCAAGCTGCTCACGAGTTTATTCTTGTCAAGTACGCCTTGCAGCCTACTCTACTACTCTGCGTGAAGCTGACGTGACGCAAGCCTTGCTTCCATCATACACCACATCTTCGTCATCTCTCCAGATGGCCAGGGCCTATTACGGATTCTCTCCAATGTTCATAAACTCATTCCGTATAGCATCATCCGCCAAACCCTTCGCGTGGGCAACGCCGCTACCATGATCAATGGAATGGTCAGGCTTGTCCTCGCAAAGTTCAGTGTCGGCACTCTCACAAACTGGGTAGGCCTGAGTAAAAACGCAGACGAAGGCCAGAATTTGCTTCAGTCGTACGTCTCGTGCCTACCCTCATCCCATGACCCCTGCTAAGCCCGTCGTCACAGCATCATCTCTACCGTTCTTGCGTGGGACTCCTCGGAATTGCAGAAGCAAATCAGCAAAATCGAGAAAATGAAAGAAAAGGAGAGGCCGAGCGACGAGCATCTCGAAGCCATAAAGTCCCATCTGCAATTGACCCGAGAGGAGAGGGAGAGGCGCAGGGCGAAAAGCAGTATGCCGTTCCTCCCATAATTTTTCCTGTGAATGTGCTAAAGCTTCAACAGAGGACACTCCAAAGTCCATAACTGCCGTGATTTTTGAAGAGCAGAATCTGTCCACAAATCTACCTGATTCGCACCAGCATCTGGCACAGGCGTATCTCAAGGCTCAATTATCAATTCGTGACCGCGAGCAACTTGTCCAAGTCCTTTGCCGCCAACAACCAGACCACCTCACTGAGGCTATCCGCGATCTCGTCAACGCTTATGACCCCATCATCCGAGGCGTGCACAATGCAGTAGACTTGAGTGCGGGCTTGACTGACCTTGAGAATTTCTTGAACGATTTGATCAAGGTCGCAAAACTCCCTTCGCCATCCAAGAGCAAAGACAAAGCAAAGCAACCGCCGACGGTTGAGGATTTTGTAAAGCTCTTGAAGAAACATCAAGGCTCCTGCCATCGTTTCCTTCACCAGATCGCAAAGAATGGCCCGGAAGTCACCGAATGGTTCCGCCAATACGCCTTGAAGTTTATTTCGCAATTCCAAAGGGCAACCGATTCGCCCGATGGTGCCGGTGCCATGAACTCTACTCTTAATTCCCTGTTCGGTAAACTTTCCGTCGAAGATCGCGAGGCGTCTGCCAAAGCACTGGACGCACATTCGAAGTATCTTACCCATCTTCACGAGTCCTCAGCCGCTCGCATGAGGTCAATCCTTTCCTGCTCATCCCGAACGGAACATGGCCCCGGAATGTACATTGCAAAATGGCTCGAGTTGGTGGGGTCGACGCCCATCACGCCAGCCACCACCAACGGTCCTTTACGTTTCGGGAAGAATAAGGATGTCCAGGAAGCCGCCCAGGTTGATGTGGATGGCGAGAGGAAAGGTAGAATTGCGTTGCAGACAGATGCAAAGGGTGACGATGCCATACCCGAAGCCCCAGATGTGGAGAACATTGTCAAACTCTTGGTACCGGAGTACCGGAAGGCGCTTGCGGGGGAGATTGCATAGAGGTTCCGATACCAAGAGCGGAGCGTTTTACGGCCATCAGGTATGTCAAGACCTACTTTCGTAGCCTCAACGTCCTATAGATAATCTTTACTCTTTTTTCCCTTTGGAAATCTTCAGCGTCTTATTTTCTAGAGCGGAATCATTTCCAGTGGTATCTCAAAAGGTTTGTCTCCCGTTCAATTCGTGGCACATACCGTACTTGGCCGCATCCCGGTCTGCCAGGATATTTTTCGTTCTTTTTTTTTTCTTAAAAAAAAGCTATCTTGTTCGATTGCAGGCCACAAGACACCACATGCTGTTGTGTTCCGGGCCGTTCGGGACGTTTGACGGCCTCAATGGGGATCGCCCCGCCTTCAGCTAACAGCCTACCACACCACAGACTATGCAATACGACAGGTTTCAGTCGGCAGCTTTCATCGGCGAACGCTTCCACTAACCCAGTACGCCTGGTAGCCCCTCCCCGAGAACCGAAAGACGCGGAGGTCTCTTGAATTTGAAGTCTAATCCAAATTTGTACAGCTCTAGGGCTGGCGAGAAGGATTGCTGAGTGGCTGGGTTAGATCTACAAATGGCGATGTTCCTACTGAAGCCGGGGGCCCTTGCTCTTGCGACCAACCCGCAGTGCACAATGTTTCATTAACGTGGGACAACGTGTTGTTTCACCACGGCTGTGTTGTGCGTGCGATCGCCTTCAACCCTGCTCTTTGCAATCTATCATATCATAAGTAGGCTTTTTTTTGCGCGTAACTAAATTGTGCGCGCACACGGGCCCTTCGTTCATGTGAACGTCTAGGAACTATCAATAGACACAGCCCAGAAAAGCTGCATCTGCATGAGAGAATTGCATGCGGCACATAGCTGCGGGGGTTTCCGCCTGGCTTTTGAGGCGTTGAGCGGCAGTCTGAGTTGGTTGGTAGTTGCTGACCTCGCGCCATTAGTACCGCAGTCCAGTTTTAGCCCCCGTCTCGGTCAGCGACGGATGAGGCGCCTCACAATCGAATGAAAAAAAGGAACACACTGGCACACGAGTGAGTAGTTAAGGAGGCGACGATCATCATTATCCACACAGGTCCTCTTTCGGGTATCAGCTCTAAAATTGTAAGCGCCGCGAAAGCCGCCGCTGTACCGTCAGCACTTACCTTGCATCTGCGACGTCTCCTGTCAGATTTTCGCTAGTCCATATATGTGTCTCTCACTTATAGGGAGTGTTTCTTGGCAAGCGGAATAACGATAACGAGAGAGACAAGGGCGGAAAGTATGGCTTTTCAAGGTTGATGCTGGGCAGAGAAACGGCGCTTCCGGATCGGCAACTACTGCTCGGGCGTCAGCCCTGTGCCGAGGACCACGAAAGCTTCACAAAAATACATCACGGCTGGTTCCGGATAGCGTCTATCGATTCCTGATTTAATGAAGATCTGCGAAAGGACAACGGTTCTGCGAAATTGAGTAGTACACTACTATTTGAGACCGCTGCCGCGCGTACCATTCAGCGCCTTGCGCGGACGGCCCGGGTTCTACGGGTTTCTTCGGGAGTCTGGAGTCAGGAAAAGAACATGGGGAACATCCGAGAACTTGATGATGGGTGGAGGAATACTTTGGCATGTGACGCGGTACACGTTTCGGCTGTCGATTCATGCTACATCGCGGCTGCTGCCGACAGAGTTCAGCTACAGCCGGTTAGGTGGAGAAGGCGGTTCGGATGATGAAATGCCACAAATCTTGCTACGGCGGGGAAAGTCTACCACTCAAGGCTTCCGAACTAGCCATCCAACAAAGCCTCAAGCTCTCGAACGGCACTGGTAGGCTAAATCGGCCCGTAAATAGGGCGTGGGGTCTGATAAGCTTATATCATCCCTCAAAACCGTTGATGCCATGTCGTCGGCTGATAGGCGCGGAACTATGCGATTTGGCACCTCTAGCGGTTAATTTGAAGGGTGTTTGTCTGAGTGGAGAAGAAGGGTTGAAGGGTGGTTGTTGGCGAGCATGGATGGAAGCGAGTTGGGCGTCGATTGACTTTGGATCCTACTGAGTCGGGCTTGGGCCGCTTCTGTTTTGCCTCTTTCATGCATATGTGAGCTCCTATGCGAGGGATCGCCTGCTGGTGTGGATTGACTGGGGGCCGGCTTGATATATCGTGGTACACCCCCGCAGGCTGGAATGAGAGGACTCCTTACATAGACCGAACCTCTCTCCCATCTCATGCGAAGATTGAAACCATTACTACGAATTATTCGAAGAGTAAAGATTCGGAGGGAGGACAGAAACGGGTCATCGCCGCTCGATACAGAACACAAGGACTATCGGTCGGATCCACCAAAGCAGCTGGAAACGGAAGTCGACTGTCGCACCGAAACACCAACCTTGACCAAGTACCACGACACAGCTCCGCGCCGTCATACCAGACATCAGCGCTAATAAACAAAGACAAAGGAGCGAGACTCCCACCTCGACGTCTTCGATACCCCCTAAACAGAACACGAGAAAAATGACGGAACTCAAGAGGATGGCAAGCATGCCCAGCTTGCGCTCCCTCCAGCTCAAACGCCGTCTCAGCTTTGACATCAACGTGCGGCAATGGCCGACCAAGGCAAAGGACTGGTTTATGGAAGGATACCGCGCGTCTGCTGATTTCGATAAGAGGCTGGGCTCGATGGTACGTTTCGCATTTTCTTCCCGCCATCCTGTCTGTGCTCTTTCCCATTTCAGAATAACGAAGTCTGGCGGTGAAAAGCTGATGTTCAGTTTGTGGTTCAAAAGGAGTGGGTTGGATATACTGGCATCTACCCATGGATCTGACTGTGGTCAATCTCGAGCAGAACGTTTTCGTTCCATTCTGACTCTTTTATCCCGTAACGGCTGGAACCACCACGGTTATATCTCATCAACTTCGTCCTCACGGCCCGCACTCTCTCAAAGCTTCGTCTCTTTCTTCTGTTTTCCCGCACTACCACCATCGTCATAATTACCATCAGGCAGCCCCAACTCCGTCGTGCACAAAATAAACGTATCTTTCAAGCTCCCCAGCCTGTGCCTCCTATTCACCGCCTGATAATCCTCGCTCGCCAACATGTCGGCAAAGTGAAAAATACTCGGATAATGCGCAAGCGCAACCTCATCCCAGACCCTCTTCCCCTTCTCACCAACACCCTCCCCAACCCCCAACCCACCCCCATCCTCCACCACCGTTCCCACAATCTTCGCAACACCCCCCCTCTTCCTCCCTACATCCTCGGCAAACGCCTTCCCGTATTTCAAATACTCCCCCTTCCTCCCCTCCCGAAACGCCAACAAATTCAGCATGCTGACCGCGCATGATGAGCCGCGGCCCCCACCACCAGCCCCACCACCACCAAACTCCCTCACCCAATCCAACAGCTCCCCACTCAACTCCAACCCCTGCGCACTCTTCGCCATCAACAACCCTCCTCCTCCTCCTACTCCTACTCCACCCTCCCCCACCACGCCACCTCCTTCAGTCAGCACTGGCACATCCCCCTCCCGCGGCCGCAACAACCGCTCGTTCCTTGCCGCGAAGCCGTCGAGCACGCGCGCCGGCACGCCGAACGACACGGACCAGCGCGCCGCGACGAGGGCGTCGAGAGCGCCGGGAGCGCCGGGTAGCGCTGGCGAAGCGGTGGGCAGGATGAGCAGCAGGTCCCAGGTGTGCTGCGTGAGGGCGGTGGAGAAGGTGGTGGGGGTGATGATCCAGCGGAGGGGGCGGGCGATGGTGAGGGGAGGAGAGTTGGAGGCGGTAGTGGCCTCGCGGAGGGCGGAGAGGAAAGTAGGGAGAGGGTCGTCGCCGTTGGTTGTCGGGGTGAGGGCGAGGAGGTGGAGGGTGCAGAGGGGCATTTTGTGTGGTTTTGTTTTTGTTTTTGTTTTTTGCTTTTTTTTTTCGTTCGGTTTGTTTGGTGCGGTCTGGTTGGGTTGTTCGGAGAGGTAGGTTCGTCCTTTGTGAGTCCGGACACGTGAGAGGGGAGACTGGGCTGGTCGGTATGGCGAAATGTATGTGGTGTTGCGGGCCGGTTATGTACACAAGGTGGGGCTCTGCATAGTAATATTGTGGCGACGCGGGGGAGGAGAGGGGAGGAACCGAGGCACGACAAATTAGGAAACGAGGGAAAGGCGGGGACATTGTCATGTCTGCGTCACTACCATTCCATGCGACATCAGAAAAACCTGTCTGTCAACGTTACACATTATTAGCCATAGACAGAAGAGTGTTGCAGCCGATGACTAGTGCAGGGCTCTAAAGCATAGAGTAACTGTTCCCGAGCCCTGCCTTAGATATTGAGTCCTCTAATCATGCTGCGCTCTTCATCTGTAGGAATTGAAGCTAATGTCCAAAGAAAGATGTGGATTCCCAAATTATACAAAGACCAAACGATCTAGATCACGGAGCAGTCTACAATGTACGGCATGGAAGTAACCATTTCTTTCCTTGCTATGAGACGAGAATCTTATGCTAAAATTACAGAGTAGAAGAGTCATAGATTTTCCTTTCCGAGAAAAGAAGAAAGTGATAAACACCGTGTCCAAAGCCTGAACACCCTGTGTTCGCCATCTAATCCAGTTTCTCCGAAAAGTCGAGAGCTGCTTTCCTCTTGTCATCTGACTGGAAAGACAGTGGTAAAGGTGAGATTAGTATAACCATCTGACGCCATTATCGTAACCACATTACGCTCTCAAAGAGAGTTACAGCGAATGGAAGCGTAAAACCCGCGCTGCATCTCGTAAACCAGGTATGCCCGAAGTATTTCAGCCAAAGAAAGGACGAATGGAAGAATGACAGCAGATAACTGAGGAGACCGGGAAATTTCGAACTCGCTGTATGCCTTCGATGCCATCTACGCCGTGATGCTCCAGAGCCAAAATGCCCGCCGACGCCAGAAAACAACCTCCTTTTGTTGCCCACCCATTTGGTTATTTTCCCTCTCTCAATCACGACTGCACCGATTCGTGCCGCTGGTGTGGTGATTGATGTTGGCTGTTGTGCATTTCTTGGTCCTGCCCGTTCGGGTGGTTCATGTTCATGACTCCGCTCATGCTCATTCCTCCCATGCCATCTTCAATGCCTCCATATCCCGTCATGTCAGCCCAGTCCCACTCCAGCGTCATCGGCATCTGCCAGAGGTCCTGAGGAACGAATGGCTGCTGGAAGCCGCCCATGTCAAAGTCGTTCAAATGGCCGGCATTTAGTGCCGTGGGTCCGCTCGCTCCCTCTGATGTAGGCTGGACTCCGGCAGCCGTCTGGAAAGCAGCGTTGGTGGCTGCAGCCTCGGTGCCTGCTTGCGAATGCGGGAACGTTTGTTGCGGTAGGAATCCTGGGACCGTCTGCGGTGATGATAAATCCGGAAGCCATGAACCTTGTTGTAAAGAAGCATGAGGCATGGAAGGCGAGAAGTTGAAGCCCTATGAGAACCAGCAATTAGTGATCGACTTGGGAAAAAAAAGAAAAGAAAAAGGCAAGGAATTGTCGTCGTGCACTTACCGGGTTAGTGAAATTAGAGGTGAAGTGAGGGAAACCTGGGCCAGCATTGCCATTGATACTCGGCGTTAAGGATGCTGACCGCCGGTTACCTGAACGCTGCTGTTGCTGTGCCTGGCTGTTTTGAGGGGGTTGCTGTTGTCCGTCTTTGTTTTGGTCGTCTTGTTGCCTCCTCTTGCGCTTCGATGACGACTCCTTATCGGCCTTCTCCAAAACGACTCGTGCGATGCGTTCGAATTCCGAACAGATACTAAGCATACGGCGCACGCTGCCATTCTCCTCATCGGAACAGAGCGTTGAAAGGAAGTTGACGACAAGGGTCATCAACTTGAGATCGGACCTAGCCCGAGTGTCCTGAGGATTTTGAAGAATATTTGCAAAAATGGTCACCAGTGATGACACGGGATAGTATAGAATAAGCCTGGAACAGTCAGCATTGATAAGGCAGTAACTGGAGAGACGATTCCTACCAGACACAAGCGTAATCGCCCTGCGGAATGTATTTGATCAGGTTGATGGAGGCACGGGCAGCTTGAACACACAGGGCAGCCGAGGAGAATACCCTAGGATTCAGTGGTCGGGCGTTGAGACCTTGGATGGCGAAATTTGATAGTCTGCTCGTCCAGTATCCATGGTGTACCGACATGCGATGAATGGTCGTCAGACAGTTGTAGTAGGCGAAGTGGAGGACCACAACATGGAGAATTAGAGGAGTGTGCGACGCTTTGATCTCGTGTTCGGGGCGGAAGTCAATCGGGATGCCGTCTTTCCAGTCCTCAAGCTCTTTGTCAAGTTCGCCTATCGTATTGAGCAGTTCACCGTCGGACTGCTTTGAAGCTTTGACTGAGTACAAGTTCTTATACACTTTACTCTCGATGACGGCAAAAGTGCACATGAGCCGGAATAGATTGACTTTGCCTTTGCCGTCAGCAAGAGGGATGTTGCCGATGTTGTCCGGAGGATCTTCGCTTGGCAGCTCGACGTTCATATCATCATCGTCCTGGATGGGCGGGCGGCCGGAGCGTAGGCAGATACTTTTCACACGTTAGATGCGGACTGCGGAGATGGTGATTACGTCATAGCTACTCACTCTCGGTCAAGCATGTAGGCAATCCAGAAGACGCGTTTGCGTTGTTCAATCTCAGCAGGATTGAGATTGAATCCAGAACCACGCTTGTGAAGACCAATGCTATGCGATAGCCTGATGGCAGCTGCGACAAGGAAGAATGACGGCTGAGGATTCGGAGTACCTTGAAGGAACAGAGCCTACACTCGGTTAGTGTTATCGATTAGGTACGATCGAGATAGCACATACCATTCCTAGAAGAGCTTGGACACTCAAGAGGTCGGTGTTACGGATAGTCAATTCTGTCTGCACAGCAAGAGCGTTCTTGAGGTATCCCCAAGCCTTCTGGTCTTCTTCCTGCGGTACCAGATTACTCATGACGCGAAGTCTGTGGGCAATGGCCAGCGCCACATTCAGACTGGCCCACCAGCCAGAGCCTTCGTACGGGTCCTTCGAATAGTGCTTATCGACAAGGTGCATGAATGTGGGCTCATGGAAAAGCGGAAACATGCAGTTGAAGTTGGCGAAGTAATCCTTCAAGAGTGAAAGGGCTTCCTCCTTCGGCGGCAAAGGCTTGAACACACGGCGCGAGAAGATGTCACGGAAAATGTCAGGTTTCCAATGTATCCACTTATTGTCATCGACAGCTGCGTTGGTGATCATATCCTGGAAGGAGGTGTCGCCAGTCTTGTCGTTGACCCACTGGATACCCTTGGGTGAGAAAATGGAGAAACCAGACGAAGATCCTGAACGGGGTTAGAGTGTGGGCATCAAAATAACGCAACGATGCACTTACCAATGTATCGGGTCTCGCCACAGTTGTTCGTCACAAGCGAGCACATCATGTCCGACAACGATTCGACTTCCTCTTCGTTCCTAGCAGGAGGTTCTTGTGTCGGATTCCTGTTGGAGCGGGCAGGGGCCGGAGAGGTGGCGGCGCTGGCGGGGCTTGCCAAATCTGCAGGCTGGGCTGGAGTGTCTCTCTGCGAAGGCGTGCCCTCGTCACGTTGGTGCGTGGAGCCACCGTCATGCGATGCGCGCGAGGAAGTTGTGCCAGTGTTGGCACCCGTGGCGCGCTTTTCCGAGAGACGCTTTTCCAGCGTGCCCAGGTCTGTCCTGCCATCGTCATCTTCCGAAAGGAGACCGGATAGCCTCAACAGGCTCTCCATGCGGCCAAGGCGGTTCTCAAGTCCTTCAATGTACTTGGCGCTGACGTTCGTGTTAGTAGCGTCAGGCAGCAACGCGGCTCAAGTTCACTCACCCTTTGGGTGGTTGGCGCTTCTTTTCCACTTGGGTGAAGACGCATTCAGTCTTGTAGTTTGTACAATGTGTGCAGGCTGGCATTTTGCCATCGCACTTGATCTTCTTCTTGCGACACATGTCACAAGCCTACGCAGGCAGCAATTAGCATGGAGAGTGTGGAGCAGCGCGTCCCCTCGCGCGGCGTACCCTTGCAATGCGCCTCCTCTTGGGGTCCCCTTGACCCTCATCGCCGCCGTCCTGTGAGCCCATCATCAAGGGATCATCAAACATATTTGCGGGCAGCTGCGGCTGGATGGGCGAGCCGTCAGCGCTGTAGCTGCCGAAGATCTGGGGCGGCGGATTGACCAGCGGCGGGGCCTGCGGGAGGAAATTATGCGAAGAGTTGTCCATGGTGGGCAGTTGGGCAGTTGGCTCTGGGGCGAGTTGGTGCTCGGGCGGCCGTGGGCCTCAGGCGCGCGGAGTTGGTGGTGTGTAGGCGAGCGCGGAGCTGACGGCGTGGGGTCGGACGCGGAGGCGTTGGTATGTAATCAGCGTGTGACGTACTGGCAGCTGAAACGCAGTCACAGGCTTGTCGATTCACGGTGCCCGAGTTTGTCGCAGGTGTAGGCGGGCGCAGACATGGCAGTTGCGGAGCACGGCCGACGGGAAGAGGCGAGAGCTTTTGGAGCCTTCCGCCCTGAGGAGTGGATGTTGCGGAAGACGCCCTGGAGCGCGATCCTGCGCGATTCTCGAACGCCAAACCAGGGTGGGACCGCCTATTGGCCAGCGCAGGCTCGTCCCGCGGGCTGCCCGCCCTGTCACTAAATGCTGTCTGCAGCCTGTGGCGCTGCTGGTGCGCGCTTGTTCACGCGCTCACCCGGGCAGCCTCGGCCGCTGCGGCAGCCTTAAGAACACGCTGCTGCATGCGCGGACGCCGTCACAACTCTGCTTCTGCTCTTGGCTGTCGACGGGCATTTTTGACGGCCTCAGGCTCTGCTCGGCTCCCGCGCGTCCCGCTTCCCGAAAGTGGCCGCGTTGCCACCAAGCGCCCGCTCTGAGCGCTGAGCCACCTCCGTGACTGCTGCATCTTCGTCCAAGCGCCACTGCTCTTTTCTGCGACTCGCAACATTTGCTGAAAGCGTGCGTCAGGCACCCGCGAAACGCCATGTACGCTCTGCACCTCACCACAAATCCCGGGGCCCTGTCCCGCTAACCCTGCCACTACCGACAGGTCTACTGCACCATCCCCGCCTCGCCCGCTGACTGCAGCGGAGGTCGAGGCTCATCCTGAGTTTCCGTACGTCACATGGCGCCTTGAACCTGCGCAGAAGGGCAAGGTCGCCGTCGCTGCCGGCCGTGGCGGTCCGCTCGATATTGCCTACGAGGTCCACGGCCACGGTCCCATCCACATAGTGGTGAGTAAGCTTGCAATTTCCTTGTTTCCATCGTCCTACAATTCAAGTATGAGGCGTGTTCGCGCCAAGTTTTCACGTTTTGCATCGGGCATAGCGTCACCGTCTGCCGCGCCGTGGTGTTCGCGAATCCCGTGCAACTCCGGTTTCGACGTGTGCATCCACAACAGGAAGCCTGAGACACGACAGCGTTGCAGACAAGCTCGTCTTCTAACAACCCAATCTCAACGTCAAAAAGAAGCTTACGTCGCCTTCGAACAAAATGGCTGATCATCATCCCTAATACAGTGGATTATGGGTCTGGGCGGCTTCAAGACCGCGTGGCAGAGACAGACCAAGGACTTCTCGCATACACAGGCCGACAAGTACTCCTCGCTGATCATCGACAATCGCGGCGTAGGCGAGTCTGACAAGCCGATGATGCGTTACTCGACCTCCGAAATGGCCCGCGATGTGCTCGAGGTGCTTGACCACATCGGCTGGACCGAGAAGCGCCAGCTCCATGTCGTTGGGATCAGCATGGGCGGTATGATCGCTCAGGAACTGGTAAATCCGGCTTAACCCCGCGTCCACGTCGTTCGCCGGCGCTTACCGACACGCCACAGGCACATCTCGTCCCCGAGCGCATTGCAACGCTGTCCTTGGTCTCCACCGCCTCTGGCCTCTTCAACACCGTCGGATTTGTTGAGAATCTCCGCAATCGCATTAACCTGTTCATCCCCCGCAGCATTGACAACCAGCTCGCCCACGTCAAGCGCAATCTCTTCACCGACAAGTGGCTGGAGTCGCCAGACAATCACGAGTACACCAAGCAGCCTTTCCCTACGAACTGCGACCGTTTTGCAGCAGGTGAAATTAGTAAGCGCAAGGACCCTGCCCACTTCAACCGCACTGGATTCATGGCCCAGGCCATTGCTGCTGGCTGGCACTACAAGAGCCCGGAGCAGCTGCGTGAAATAGCGGACAAAGTAGGCCGCGAGCGTATCATGGTCGTGCACGGCACTGAAGACCGTATGATCACCTTCCCTCACGCAAGGGTGTTAATAGAGGGACTAGAGGGCATTGGCGAGCAGCAGAAGGGAGAGGTAAAGAAACACCTCATTGATGGCCAAGGCCACTGCATTCCTATCGAGATGAGAGAAGAGTTCAAGACTTGGCTAGAGGCTTTGATTACTAGAGGCGAGGAGTTGAACAAGACCAGCGCATGAAGAATGCACGCAGCGTCTAGAATTGGCGAATCATTATGACGATATAGACGTAGAATGAATGAACATATTCACCGGAGATTAAATCCTTAGTTCGTTGGTGGCTGGTCACAAGTGCCTGTCGCTCCTGAGGCAGTTCGCTGGCGAAATTTCCTGTTTGGGAATCCCGGCCCTACTCGGCTCCGTCCGGTTTGGTCCGGCAGTCACAAAATGGATCCCTCCGACCATAGCCATTGAAATTTGTGGGAGTGGGCATCTTTGCCCCACAGGCTGAAGAACTACTTCCCGATGTCCTCTCTTTTCGGCTAAAATGGGTGAAGCTGTGCCTGCGTCTCTGTGTGCTTCAGTCTTGAACGAAGAGAGGAGAGACGAATGCTTGATGACTCGCGAATTATGCACTCACCAGACACCCCATTTCTCAAGGGCTAAAGGAAGTTGATACAGCCGAGCATAGAAGGTGCATGAATACCATGGTTCGTCCTTATAATCTTCCTTATCGTTTTTTGAACTGCCCGTTGTGATCTGCCGCCAGTTGCCGAATATTGTGTGCTCAGAAGCGTCCAAGCGGGTAAAATGTCCGTGGCACCATCAACCCTTCCAAATCTTGTACACAGGGCCAAGGTAGCGCCAGAAAATGGATTTGCAGAAGAAATTCCTTTTTAACAAAAAAAAAAGAAAAGCGAAACACAGATTCGGGCAAAACCAACCATTCGGACAAAAGGGAATGAAGGTCCACACGTGATGGCTGATGCCACGAAATGGCAATTTGGCACGGAACAGACATGCAAGCTGTGACTCTAGTTGATAAGCGAGGTAAGGATTCTTTCCCTCATTTTTCTCTGTGACGCAGTGTTGCGGGTTGGAGGAGGGAAGGGTATCGCCATACTAGTTCAGGCCTAGCGCACTTTACACGTGACGTGCCGCGCTCGAAGCTCAGAACGACGACGTCCGAAAGCGCAGACTGCGTCTCAGCGCAAACCCGAAACTCCATCCCAACCCCATCGCCGGTCTCGACCCAATTCGACTCAATCGTACGTGTGCCCCCGCCCGACACGCCTGCAGACGCACACCCCGCGACTCCGCCGCCCCCCGCTCGGCTTCCGTTCACGCAAATCCCCTCTAACGCAGACGAACAGGGCCAACGATGTCTTCCGCTCGCCTTCTCCGTCCCCTCGCCCGCGCCGTCGAGCGCCAGGCCTTCGCTGCTCCCATGAGCATGCGCACCGCCGCCAAGGTCGCCCCCTTCACGCCCTCGTACAACGGCCAGAAGTTCACCGTCGCCGAGAAGGCCGGTGCCAAGATGGTACGCAGCACCCGCTCTCCGCCCGCCCGCAATTGCCCGAGAAAAGCGCGCGCGATGCATCGACACACAACTTCAGGCCGCACCGAATGAGTGATGGGAAGGCAATTGCGTTTATCGGAGATGATTGATGATGGATGGGCAATTGGCTGTTGGGATTTGCTAACGCGGAAACCTTTTCGGAATCTACAGCAGACGATGCTCTACGCTGGCATGCCCCAGCTCGTCCCCTTCTACTGGGTCAACGAGACCACCTTCGCCTTCGCCATCATCCCCACCTTCGTCTACTTCCTCTCCAAGTACTTCCTGCCCCAGGACCTCCGCCGCATGGCCGCCCGTCTCTTCATCTCCAAGCTCTAAACGCCCCGCGAAAGCTTTATACCACCGACCAGATGATCTGTTGCATGGAATAGGGAAATGAGAGACTGGAAGGGTGATTTCTGCTCGGAAAAGCTGAGGGCTATGACTTAGACTGGTTTACTGCCGCTGTAGATAATAGTCCGGCGAAGACGAAGAATCATCAAAACAATCTCAAGATGCTCTAGGGAATTAAATGCGCGTGCGGTATTGATGGAGATGGATGTCTAAGGAATTTGGTGGCGGGAATTGGTTGTTCTGATCCTACACCGGAACGGCTCGCGGCTGTCAGTGACACCGGGTCAATTCACTGGACGTCTAACGTAGGACGAACGCTATTATTGCTGCATATCATTTCGCTATCTATATCTCCAATGGGCGGGCTAACAGGTGCGCAATCGAAAAACGGTTGGAGAGCTCTGCAATATGTCCGAAGCTGTTACACATGTAAATCGACTCGGGCAAATCTCGCAACACGGCACCCTCGATTCTGCTATGCTGATTTCTTGATTGACATGGTACTCCACTGTCTCCACCTTGCGGACATTGACTAATAGCTACTAACTAGACTTTGGGCACATGTGCCTTTTTTCTGCAACATGAACCCACACCATTTACACATAGCGACAGGCATTGCGCTGAATCTTCTCTATCTTCTCCAGTGCTGCCTCCAGGAGACGTCTCCTTCAGGAAGCGCGAGCTCACTGTCTCGTATAGGCTGTAGAGGCGCCAACACTGCAGCCTTCCCAAAATTTGGGCGCTCTGCGTTAAGCAAGAGATGTTGCACTCTTCATTTAGGGCAGTTGAAGCAGAGATCCGGACGTAGATATGTTTTGAAAATGTACAAACACGTCCAGACAGTGAGCTCAACCACACGTAAGCAGGATATATTACAGAACAGCAATGCCCCAGGCGTGCCTATCCCTCGGCTTTTTCCCTTCTTCTCTCTCTCTCTCTCTCTCTTTTTCCTCCAGAAAAACGACATATGTGGGTAGCTGAAGCTATCGTCCGGACGAGAATGTGGAATTAAATATTCGACATACACGTCCGGACGATAGCTTCAACTACCCATGACACGGGCCAATAAAAAAGAAGTACCAAAGAAGTAAAGATGACCAAATGAATTTATGATGTCGTCTCTGGGCAGCTTATTACGAAAAGCAGCTATATCTATTTGCTTGTCACGCCTACGCAAACACAAATCTACAACATGTGCTGATTGCTAGGCATCTAGGAACCGCAAAGAAAGTTTCATTGATTCCAGGTTGAGACGGATGCCAAATCCGACAGTGATGGTATTGAGGGATGATCGATTAGTAGCTACGGTGCGTTTGGACGATATGCGTCCAAAGCAGACTACACTAAGCCTAATCGGGCAACGAACATGTTGTAGCAAACGCAGCCGGCCTACCGGTGCCTGCCGGCACGATCCTCAGATAGTATTTTCCAGCGCGTTTCTACAATGAGAGCAAGTTATCAGGGTTGCTGGGCCCACATGTAGATTTGGGTGGAATAGACTCACGATGGGTATTTGCCGGCAGTAACACTGCTAGAGGTGCACAGACATATATATGCATCATTCACTGTTAACACCCATAGCAACAGCCGGCGCATGACGGGCCGGCGCATGATGGACCGTCATGAACAGACACACTCCGCCCATAAAAGCCCCCCGATTCTTCCACCGGCGGCATTCCTTCTCTCCTCTTCAACTTCACCTTGATCGGCCCTGCGAACCTCCAGTACTATACGCACTTGATCTTGACTGCCTCACCTCCCGAAGCACTGTAAGTTTACGGCTCTCATCTCTTCTCATCCCAGAGCCTTGTCCATGTACTCAGGTACGAGGACTTCAAAAACCTGGCCTCGTCTTCCATTCTACAGCAGCGGCGCTATGCTTAACTGCTTCTCCACCTGCTAACGCAAGGCTGTCACAGTCAACCACCACCCATACCAAAATGTCATCGACGCCCAGTTCTGCTTCCAACAATTCCGGCCCCGCCGTTGGCGTCGCCGGCAGCGGCGGCGGCCGCACCACCTTGAAGTCGCCGCTCATCGGCATGCCTGCCCAGGAGCGGAAGGCGCTCGTCGACAACACCGACAAGCTCACCATCGTCTGGACCGACGCCGACACGTCCCAGACCTTCTTCATCTCGGACGTCCCGAAGCGCATGCTCATGCTCTTCAGCCCGGCCGCCGCCCGCTTCTTCCGCTCTGCCCGCGACGCGAACAACAACGGCACCGCCGCCAACAAGCCGCAGCAGAAGAACAAGCAGCCCATCTACGACCTCGGCACCGTCGCGCAGCTCGCTCCGAGTGCCATCAAGTACGTCATCTCCGCGCTCGTCAGCGCCTGCCGCATGCCCGACCACGACGACAACAGCGTCGACAGCAACGGCGACAACAACACCAACAACTCCACCGCGGCGTTCGTCAACCCCGACACCGCCTTCATGCCACCCGCCTACCCAGAACCCTACGTCCTCCGCCACCTCAAGTGCTTCGTCGCGGCGCAGAAGCTGGGCGTGCGCTGCGTGCGCTACGCGTGGCGCGGCGCCATCATGGACGCGGTGCGGGCGGCCAACGTCACGGCCGACGAGTTCGTCTACATGCACCGCGCGTTCGGCGAGGAGGGCGAGCCGCTGCTGCTGCGCCACGTGCTGCACGTCGTCGCGTACGCCGAGCTGACGGACGAGGAGGAGCACCCGGAGACGCTCAAGATCAACAGGTACGTGTACGGTAGTCAGCCCAGCCTGGCGCCGGTCAAGAAGGCGGTGGAGGTGGAGGTGGAGAGGAAGTTGGTCGCGCGGGAGGAGGAGAGGGCGAGGAGGCAGGCGGGGTGGGAGGAGAGGGAGAGGGCGAGGAAGGAGTGGGCGGGGAGGAAGGAGAGGAGGGAGGTGGAGGAGGAGGAGATGCAGAAGAAGGACGCTGAGCAGCTGTTGCAGAAGAAGAAGGGGGGAAAGAAGCTGACGAAGCGTGAGCGTTTGGCCAAGAAGCAGGAGAAGATGGAGCAGGCGAGGAATGGAGAGAGGGCTCTCACTGACAAGGAAGTCGAGGCTATGGGCAAGCACCATGGTCCCAACACGGCCACTGTGTTGAACAAGCTTCGCTAAGCGATCCTCGAGGTGGCAAAAAGCTGGTGGACTGGGGACCAGTGCATTGATGGGCAGACACCCTGGTTTTCTTTTGTTATTGAGCACAAGGAGTTCTTGCGGACATGGGTTTGGTCATGGAAAATTACGGTATACGGTAATTGAAAAGGTGTTTTTGAGATTTCAGCGGATAATCAGATTGATAGCAGTGCTTGCTGCGCATGCAAGATGCAAACTGCGTAGAGCATTGGGCGACGAAAAAAAAAAAAGAAAACAGCAGACATGTCACCGAGGGAGCATTGCACCACATCGAAAAAGTTTCAGATAGATAGAATAAAAACCTCTTGTTTCTTCCAAAGGCAGTCCCTCGTCTGGCTAGTATCAGTACACATATCTGAAGTTTTCATTCTCCCAGTCCGTCAGATCACCAAACGCAGTGGCATCCAAGTCCGCCGCCGCCGTGCCCTCCCCAAATTTCCGGTCCCGCCTCTTGTTCTCCAAGCTCAGCATCGTCCGAAGGATCAGAATCAACACCACTTCAAGTAGGTGGCAGACAATCATGGCCCATATTCCCAGCGGATAAGTCGGCTGCTGCTCCGTCTTGAAGAAGAACGGGCCGGCGATGTTTCCCGCGCAGTAGCCCACTGCGATCGTTCGTTAGCAAGCCATTTTCAGAAAACTGGAAAGTAGGGACTCACAGAAAAGACAGGCGTTCGTAACGACCTTCTTGGTGTGGCCAGCGGTGTTGCCAATGGTGATGGAGAGGATGAGGACAAAGGCGGCGTTGTACGGGCCGGTGAGGTAGTAGCACCACAAGCGGCCGACGTGGTGCTCCTGCGGCACGTAGCGCAGGCCGAAGGTGCCGGCGATGTTGGGGAGCAGGTAGAGGATGATGAACCAGCAGCGCGTGTTGCGCTTCAGCTTGGCGGCGTAGTAGTCGTTCAGGTAGACGCAGGACAGGATGCTCAGCGCGATCAGGGCGCCGTACGGCATCTGCAGCAGCGTTGTTACTAGGGTCGAGTAGCCGAAGCCCTTGATGATTATGGTGCCGAAGTTGGAGATGCCGCCGTTGGGCGTGTTGGCGATCAGGCCGATGACGAAGAAGATGTACGTCTTGGGGTCTTTGAAGGCTTCGGCCACTTGGTACGCTTTGAAGTGCTTGTTTTCGACGCCCGTTTGGTTTTCGCGGAGCCGCTCGACGGCCAGGCGCTTCTCGCGCTGGCTGAGCATGGGCGCGGTGACGGGGCTGTCCGGCAGGAAGATGAACATGACGATTCCCCAGGCGCTGCAGAGAGCTGTCGGTGGGTTAACAATAGGTTACATTTTGGGAACGTGGTTGGTGACTTGCCTCCGATGATCAAGAATTCGTACTTCCACGATGGCAGGGCGCCCCTAATCTGTCCGATGCCGTAACCAAGGAGACCACCCAGTGCAATGCCGAAGCCGTTTGCAGTGTACCATAGACCAATCCGAACTGGTTGTTGACGACGTGTATACCACATGCATGTAATCAGCATGAAAGCGGGGTCGGCGCAGGCTTCGGCGGCTCCTGAAAGGGCCCGAAGGACTGCCAAAGTTGTGAAGTTCTGCGTCATGGTCAGCAACAAGACGGTTGCACGAGAGAGGAAAGCCTTACATTTGCGCCCGCCTGAGCCATCAAAAGCACGCCCCAGAGGAAGATGTTGAAGCCAAGGTATTTTCCCACAGGGAATCTCTGCAACATGAAGTTGGTCGGGAAGGCCCAGGCCAGGAAACCGAAGTAGAAAATACCTGCCCGAATGGTCAACAATGTGGTTATATCGGTTATGCCAGATGGGTTGTCGTACTGGAGAGCCAGTTGTACTGCGTCCCCACCAAGTTCAGATCCTCCCTGATTCCAAAGATGGCCGCATAGGACAAGGTAGTCTTGTCAATGTAGAAAAAGGCATAGCAGACGGCCAGGTACGGCAGGATCATGTAATCGATTTTGCGCACCAGGCGTTTCTCTTCCTCCGGGTCGTATGGCTCGTGTATCTCACCGGGCTCGCTAAACAGCGCCGCGGCAGTATCTCCATCACCGCGTGAGAACTTCCATTTGCTCGCGGTTGCAGTGGACGTGGGAGAAATGACTTCCTGATGAATGGCGTTATCTTTGGCATTATCGTTGTTGGGCGCATCGCTGGAAGACGGCGTCGCCGGGTCGTCAGCTGGTGGAGGTGCTGGGTTTTTGAAGATGCGCATCGTGGGCAGTTTTATGTGATGTGCAAATGACAAGCTTCACCAAGCGCGGGCGAAGATGTCTCGGCAGGTATGGTGGCGAGTCAAGCCGAAGCCACAGTTGGGCCTTGGTATAGCAAGAAAATGGAAAAAGCACAGTAGCCGCGCGCGAGCTCAGCGAAGACGGTTCTCTTTAAAGATGTTGAGTCTTCCCTTGCCGGAGCGAAAGCCGGGGCACGCTGCAGTAGCATTGCCAAGTGGATCAGCAGCTGTGATGCATGCTCGGTGTAGCATTGTTTCGGCAAGCCGAGCATGATGACGGGCGGAAAAAAGAGGCGTTCGGTGGGTGTGTTCCCACTTTTCCTGCACTAATCCCCACGGCTGCACGGTTGATTGATGCGGGGAAGGGTGGGAGGGCGGCGGGGAAAGCTGGGGACGGCGGCGATACGAGCCCTTGATTGGCCTGTTCAGTTGCCGCTGGGTGCTGCGTGACGCAACTGCTTTTCTCGCCAACTGATCTGGTCGCCGAAGGGAGAGCAAGCACCGACTTCTTCGGTTTACCTCCGACGCCTGGTGGAATGAGAGCCGCATCAAAGCAGAACATAAGTTACTCCCCGAAGAATGTGCTCCAATAATTCAAGTTCTGCTAGAGCTCACGCCCGATGAACTCGATACAGCACTACTTGAAATGTTATTGTTAAAATCCTAGCCGCTGCTCTTCGAATTAGTACCCATTGAATTCTTCATAAGAGGGTAGTTGAAGCTAACATCCGGACGTAGATGTCAATTTTAAAATTGCACAAATGCATCCGGATGTTAGCTTCAGCTCCCCCCGAAGGAAGAGTTATCAGGCTCAACTATTTTGTGTCGGATGCACGACAGGGATTATGATGCCTCAGGCATGAAAACTCGGCAAATGTCGGGCCGGCTGTGCGAGGGTGCTTATTTGTTTGTTGCGACTCAGCCGCAGCCAAAACCACGACTCAACTTATTACTTGGAGATCGCCAATAGCCTTGTGGGCTGACCCTACTTCTGTGACATCCCAACCCTCTGTCTGCCATTTCGAAGCATGAGTCGTCCCACCCGCACCCTCGCCCAGCTTCCCCCGGAGATTCTCGACTTGATTCTCCAACATGTCAAAGATGTCAAAGACGTCCGTTCGTGCTGCTGCGTATCACGGCTTTTCAACGATGTTGCCGAACGGGTGCTATACCGGATTGTAAACATCTCATCCCATGATAAAGCCAAAAGATTCGCCTTGGCTTTGCGGCTCCGACCCGGTCGCCGGAACCACGTGCATAATGTCTCCATCGACTCATCGAGAACGGGAAATTCCTTCGCTAGTCCCCCCTTCAGCTGGACTTCGATGATGTTATGCCCATTGCTGATTGATTGCCCCAATCTGGAGAAGCTCAACCTTGCCTCTCACTATTGCTACCAAGAACACATAACCTCCTTCATCTATCTCAAGGTCGATGACGTCCTATACCACCAGCTTGACCTCTTCGACATGCTTCGCCGAGCGAGCCTGCGCACTCCACCGGCTGAGCGCATTCACACCAAACTAACCACTCTGCGCCTGTATTTCAGGATGCTCACGGGCTGGCCCGAATGGGCCCTCGGCTCAGACCTGCTCCACATGTTCCTGAGCCCCACCCTCCGCGAGATATCTCTCCACGGCTGCGACCTCACCACTAACACCGCAATCCCCGATGCTCTCCATTACGCAGCGTTTCAAAAGTCGACCCCGCTGGAGGTCCTCCGGCTACGGCACTCATTCGCCTCAGTCGAGGTTCTCCATAAGATCCTATCCATCCCCCGCCGACTGAAATGCTTCCTCCTGGAGATCGATAACGAGCTGGTCGACCCGAAGACTCCGAGCCCTTTCTCCGATCTGGAAAGCTGGACGAGGCTGTTCGCCCAACACAAAGACTCGCTTGAAGAGATTGTCCTCCTCGTCAACGAGGACACCCTGGACCAGTCCGATGGCTGCTTAGACCTTCGGGGCATGGAGAGGATGAGGCTGCTGGTCGGATCCGTTCTGTGGAACGGAAAAAAGAATACCAAGTGGCCGCCGGGTACGACGACGATGCGTTCGCCCGAATATTACAAAATGCTTGACGAAACAAGGCCCGAATGGGCCCAGTGGATCGAACATCAGGACGACATGGAAGAGGACGGATGGGACGCTCAGAGCGACGACGACACCTATTCAGACCTGGATCCGGATCTCGAGGAGTACTGGGACGAATATGGCGAAGACCTTCTCTGAAGCCTTCCAAGTTCTACAGGGACAAAGGGAAAAAGGATGGCACAGCGAATTGGGGCGTCATCGAGCGGTAACAAATGAATTTTTGGGGAGACGAAGCGGATGTCTGGACGTAGATGTAAGTTGTTTGACTACACAAATACGCCCGGACAACAGATTCAACTATCTAAGTGAGGATTCCGTTCTACCGGGAATGAAAATCCCATCTTCTACCCACAAATTCTTCCCCGTCAAGTGACTGCCTGCGTGCAAACCGTATACCATAGAAGCGACCAGCCTATTCGTGTTGAAGGCGTCATTACCCGAATTGTGCCACTCACCATCCCTCGTCTGGTAGCCAATCCGATTCAACGCTGCCCCGAGATTCGGATATTCCATCCTACACCTTGCGGCAATCATCGTATCGAACTCGCCAACTATGTCGACGCCATCAATACTGTACGGATCCATGCCCAATTCCTTCATCCACTTGTGGTCATTGATGGCATCATGGAAAGTCAGAACGACGTTTCTGCCACCGAAACATTCCCGCATGTACCTCACGAAAACGTCTCGAATATCAGCCGGGTTCCTGATTATGACATCGCGGCCGTAGCTCGACCGAGAGCCATAGAGCTTTTCTCCCTCCTCAGAGCTCACCGCAATCCTCAATTGACGCGTGGACGGGGCTGAAGCCCGCATCCAACTCAGCGAGGTGAGCTTGTCGACGGGGGGATATTCACGAGAATCTAGAGCGCTCACGCCGACTGATGTAATTTTGGTGTGGTCGCCGATTTCGTGGGCTCCAATGTCAATCGCCACGAAGACAGGCTCGGAGATGCCCCACCGAGAAACCGGCTCATGGTTCAACAGCCTGCGCTTGGGTCGCTGACCAGGCACAAGCTCCCTCGGCTGCTTCGACGCTTGCTTCGTAAGGTTCTTGGTGGGATCTGCTGGGCCATCGGTATGGCTGGGATGGCGATCAGACTTCTCCACGCGCTCTTCCTCGCGGATACTGCCAGTATGTTGATGCTGAGAACTTGAGGTATCAACCGGAACAACCCAGATCAAGCCGGGCTGAGCTCGATCCACGTACACGGTAGGTGGCACGTAAGCTCCATCGAACGGAGCTTCATCTCTGACCTCTGCGCTCAGAAGATTCCAGGAAGCCTGCAGCTCGAACATGTTGCGGTGCTCGATGTAAAGAAGCAAACGAGCCCCGATCTCCCGGTAGTAATAGCCCCGGACGCGTTCAGATAGCTGCTGCCGCCTGATCTGGACTAGCAATGCAATGAGCTTCTCCTTCAGCGCAGGTGGAAGCCCTGCATCTTCAACCAATGGTGCGAGCCAGTCCAGCCATAGGAGAGAGTATGGGGGGTCTTGGTGTTTGACGTGTTGACGAGATTCCAACATGATTGGTTGCTGTTGCTGTACTCAATTGTCAGTACGAGGATTACAGAGGTAGAAAATTATCAGAGGCAGCATGGAGGGTTACGTGATACACATACTCACGCAATCAGCAGCACGGCGAGGTGAAGTTGGTGTTCGAGTCAGGTATAGGCGTGGTAGCAGAAATGTCAAAAGTGAGATGGTCATGAGGGTTTCCGAGGTGAAGTTTAGAGGTGACGGTTATGGGGGAAAGAAACAGCAGCATAGCCTCCAAATTGCCGATGGAATGATGGAATTCTGCAGGAAAAGACAATCCGAGTAACTCACCTGGTCGGTGTCTGGCTGTGCGACTGAAGAAGGGTTCCTCAGCCAGCGACGGTGCCCTTGAGACGCAGTATCAGTATCAGGACAGGCCGCTCAGGTGGATGTGTAGTGCAACAGCTTACCTGGCTCTGGGCGGGCGCACTGGACCTGGAAGAGCTCCGAGACGAAGGAAGAGTCTGAAGGAGGAGGAGGAGGAAGAAGAAGAAGAAGAAGAAGAAGAAGAAGAAGAAGAAGAAGAAGAAGAAG